TCACATTTTTTTTCCAGGTGGCTTCCTATGCCCATAAAAGAAGAGACAACAGCATGCCCTCTAATCACTCCCCGTCCCCCAAGGACGCCTAGTTAGACAGGCTCTGCTTTCGCTTTCCTTAGAGCGTAATTCTTCTGTCCTTAGTCATGGATGTAGTCCCAGCAGTGTCCAGGAGAATTACTCCCTTGAGTTAATACTGCCGAACCCCTGTTTCACTTCTCTTTAATCATGCTAATCTTCATCTTTTATTCACTAACCGATAACAATGGAATGGCAAGCCCTGCCTTACCTTCATCTCAGCCTTGGACAATGCCACATAATCCATTTAGAAATTCTAGAAAAGATGGGAGATTTAACTCTTTATTAATGATGCCATAAGTCAGTTAGTCATCTTATGATTCAGAAATCAGTAAAGAAAAATCTGACAGACAAAGCATATTTTTTTTCTGCAGTCATATTTTTCTAGCTTAGAAGTCACTTCTCTTCCTGCCTTATACAATACTGAAAATAAAACTGATCTCCAGACATCACAGCGTTTCACTGGGTGGCAGAAACAAACAGGCTGATTTTTAAACTGCTGCTACGGCTACTCCAACGGTCTGTCAGGAAGCCAATACTATTCAACACCTATATGACTGATTATACCTCAATCCCTCAACAGACAACCAAACAGATGTCACCACCAAGGATGCCTAGTGGCTGCTGAATAACATTTCTGCTGCAGAGACACGGCCTCAATCAGGAAGAGGGGATTTTCTCGGGGAGGTAATTACCTCTTACTGATATGAAATCTGGATGCTGAAAACAACGGAGGATCCTGAACAGTGTGGTAGAGGGAACAAATCTAAAAAGAACAGAGGCATCTAACCTTACCTACAAAGGGTAAATATAAGCCTAGCAATAAATATTTTACAGAACCAGACTGAACTCTGTTTGAATTAATATCTTTTCAAAGAGCTGAGGATGACGAATACTGTATTCTTGACTGTATTAACACATTATTCAGTCAACACAACACATTCTCGTGCAAAAAATGTTCTTTGCTTTGAGCTGATATGCAGGAAT